ACAATTCCAGATGTGGAACATGGTCAATTCATTTGAAAGACAACTAAACTTCATGTAGCTTACCTTATACGTTAACAATCAATGTTTAGTTTGTTAAGTGATAATGTTTAGTTTTGCAGAGGATTGTGTTGTTTGATTAAAGGTAATTAAAAAAAATCTAAAAATAAAAATGATTTTTTTAAAAAAAAATACAATCTACATCGATTTTCCTAAGAATTGATGTAAATTTATGTATAATATACATCAGTTTTAAAATCGATGTAAAAATATATATATCTTCCTAGTCGCTCTATTCTATATTAATTTTAGAGCTAATATAAATGATTTCACAAAATCGTTGTAAATAATGTATCATGTAATAGTGACAATATCATCCTTTTTTTGTGTACATTTTACAGTGAATACACATAAATATCAACTATACACACATTAACCAACATTTAAACAAGAATCAAGTAACTTTTGGGTTTAACTCTCCAAAACCCCAACTTCTCACCTTCTACAACTATCAATAAAATCAATATTCAAGTCATCATTGGATGAATTCGATAACATAAATTAACTTAAAGAATCATTAAAAAAAAAAAAAAAAAAAACTTCAGTTACATCATTTAGTCTCATTTAACTAAAATTAGCAAGAAATTCAAGAAGAACAACAAAGACCTTTATAGGGTCAACTTCGCTCCTCAAAAGACACACAATAGTGTTATATACACGCGTCATGCAAAAATAGTGATAAAATATCAAAGCCTTTGTTTAAATAGGAGAAAAATATTTATTTTATCTGTGCTCACAACAGTTATCCAAAAAGAATTTTCTTTCTCTTTACACTTTTTCCTAGAAAATATTTTTTTCTCTAAAATATAAGTTTTTTTTTCCTAAGATTCATATTTTTCACCCGTAACTCCTAATTTAAATTCTTCATATCTTCTCCGATTCATTTAGTTTATTTATTTAACTCTTTCGTGTATTTTCAACTTAAACTATTTTTCCATCTCATATTCAATATTATAGAATTTTCTTAAATTGTTTAGAGATAAATTATCTTTATATCCATTAGTTATCGTTATCTCTTTTAACTTCCATATTGATTTAAATAATTATTTTTTATCTCTTATCTTATTTAAGTTATTATATCTTGCCTGATTTAAAGTACGATGTCTTTCTCATTTTTGATTTGGTGGAGTAAAATGATAAAGTATCTCTAATTTCTTGGGATCCATAATGAATCATCATTATTATTTTTAAAAAATTATTCTATTGTTTATCTTCATATACTTAATATTCTTCTTTATACAAATTTATTAAAATATATCAAGATTATTTGATATATATATATACTTTAATTATATAATATCAACCATTTTTTTTTTACTTTTTACCACAAATAATTCTAATCATACAATTTACACATTAGGTTTGAACAAGCATTGTATGCATGAGCGAAAATACTAATATGTAAAAAATCGCATGCCGAATT